CAATGTGATGGGGCCTTTGACAGGTAGGGACAAAGAGTGTGGGAAACACAAGGAGAAAACGATATGTGGGTCTGGTGAAATGTGTCCGCATATGTGTGCGTGCATGTAACACTCAAGCCTTCCCTCGGTAAAGGTAGGGATTTAGGCAAGACTTGAAAGACAAGTACAACTGATTAGATGACCAGTTTGGGGATGAAATCCTGTAATTTCAGGCAAAGGAGCAGAATTGCCAAGCCTCAGGATAGACATTGTGTTGTAAGTAAAGAGAGAGGTTCATCCATTCAGCGAATGGTTATTCATCACCAGGGTGCAGCAGGCATTGTGAGAGGCTGTTCGCTGAGCGGGGAATAAGAAGACACAGTCCCTGCCCTCATAGACATTACCTTTTGGTTGGGGAGATAGACCAAAAATAAGTAAACAAATAAACAAAAATTGCTAATTTTGGTCAAGTAAGTAAACAAACAGATAATGTAGAATTAAATGAAGGCCAAGAAGGCAACTTGAAAGAGCTGAGACAGACTCATGTGGGAGACACATGGAATAGGGTGTCAGCTCCTAGAGGAGGCGATGCTTAAGCTGGGACCAGAAGGATAAGAAGGAGTGCAATGTGAGAAAAGCAATCAGAGAGCATTCAGGCAAAAAGGACGGTAAGAAGGAGGGCCGGATGGGGAGGAAGTCTTTAGGAGACCTGGGTGAAGACGATTCTGAATGACTCGGGGAATGAGGGAGTGGCGAGGAGGCGAGTGGCATAGTGCACTGGCAGGAAGAGATCCATGTGTACCTACCCTCCGCCCACTTCCTGCTCTTGTCTGCTCCAGTGGCTTCCCACACGCTTACAATACAATCCGAAGGCCAGTCAGGCCCTGCTGATCTCTTCTGACCTCGCTTCCTACAGCTCTCCTCCCTGCTTGCTGCCCTCCAGGCCCACGGTCCCTCTCGCGTTTGTCTGAACTCTCCAAGCCTGTTCCCGTGCCAGGGAATGGGTGCCTGCTCTTCCCTCCGCCAGGAATGCTGTGATCCACTCTCTGAATTCGTTTTGTTTTTTCCTCACTTGCCCACCATAGCCAGAGTAGATACACCCCATCTCCTGACGCTGTCTCCTTGACCTGATTTTCTATAATACTTCATACTAGTATTTTAGTGTACATTTCCTTGTTTGTCTGTTCACCTTTGGTGTCTTCAACTGGAACATAAATTTCATAAACTGTACATGTTAGACCAGGGCTGGCTTCGTGGGCGTGCGACCTGTGCAGTAGAGCAGAGCCACGTGCTCAGAAGGTCTCTGAGCTTGGTTTAATCCTCTGTTGTTGGTGTCTTGAAATTCTTGATAATTTTATCTCTGAGCTTGCGTGCTAAGTGAAGTCGAGGGTAGCAGTGGGGTACGCCCAGAGGACAAGGAAACAGGGGAGGTCCTCTGCACAACAGCACACGCATGCAGTTGTGGTCCAGGGGTAATGGCCACACACACAGTCAGCCTGGCCACCTGATGTGCGTGGGCACACCATGGGGCAGTCCAGGACACTGTGGGGTCTGAGGCAGTGTCTAGGGCCAGGACGAGGCTCAGATTGGCAGTGGTGACAGCCACATTATCAGCAGAAGCAGCAGTAGCCATGACCGTAGGAGAGAAGAGAGATTCCTAGTGGGGCAGCAACTCCAGAACCCCTGGTGGGAGGCTGGCTTGCCCATCCATCTCTGGAGCTTGTTCTTAAGGCTTTGCACAAATATTAACTCTCCACCCTAAGCGCCAGGACAGAAATTGCTGGAGGTCAGACAGGAAACTTTGTCAGCAAATAACTACAAAATAAAAGCATATACATTGAAATCGTAATAAAGCATATCAGGGAGTTATTGTAATTCTTCGGAGTTTGGAATCCCTGGTTTGGAAAATTGCTGCAATGTTACAGAGTAAATATTCACAAGCTTAGAAATAGAAATTAAATGTAAAGATTGCCGCATCTGGCAGAAAAGAGCAGCGTTTTCATATGAAGCCTCAAATGAACCACTTCCCGACAGGAAGATAATTTTTAAATTAATTTTTCCTTCTAATTGAAGATACGGGAATAGAATACATAAACAGGCATTTTGAATTATATACAAATCGTAAAGCCGTTTTCAGTTTCTAATACAATCCTCATAAATTAAAGAAAGTCAGAGGAAATATTAAAATACCATTACATAAGTTTACATTTAATTTTAATTAACCCAGAACTCATTTATCTGTGTGAGTTAAATCTTTTTAGAAAAATTGTTCCACAAGAAAATTATTTAAATGCAATAAAATTTATATTTCAAAATAACTTAACCTAAAATTTATCCCAATGTTGTCACAACCTGTAAAATACTCTTATCAGCTCCAGTAACAGCTGCATCAACAGAATGACCCTCCTCAAAATTAAACATTTTCCAACATTATTTCCAATCTTGCATTGGAATCTAAGTGATTGTTGTTTTTTCAGTTTTATTTATTAAAATGAACTTGCTAAAAGTTTAAACTTTGATGACCTAGTAAATTAACTTGCAGAAAAATGAGCCAGAAAAAAATCTTATGATCAGTCAAGAAATCACATTAATATATTATTTATTGTATCATATAAAATTGTGACACCAGAGTATTGTTTTTCAATATGTGAGTTTATGTTGTCACTTATGTGTCACTGTTATCCCATCACGTTTTATAAGTAATAAAATATTTTTAGAAAAAAGTTTTATATTTTAGCACCTTTAACACCTCTTTTTCTACGTTTTGAGTAAGGGACCCCTCATTTCATTTTGCACTGGGCCTCACAAATTATGTATCCAGCCTTGAGTCAGGATTCTAGCAGAAAAGATAACATAATTCTGATGGTTCAAGAGGCTTGAATTAGGGAATAGTCACAGAATGGGAAGGGCTAACCAACGAGGAAGATTGAAGGACCCGTGGACTAGCTCTGGTAGGAAGACGTTACCACACCTCCAGCTGGGGGAGCAAGGGGAGCAGTGTTACAGATCCCAGTGGGAGCTGGGCCATGGGAGGGGGGGGTCACCTAGTGGGAGCTTGTGGTCTAGAGGGATGCAGCCGTCACCAGATTCCATGTGCCAAAGCTCTGGGCGTGAGGAGAAGAAATACTCGACAGCTCTCACCTCTCAGCTTCCAGGGTCTTGCTGTGCCTTCCGTTGGCTGAACCCTACGGAAAGCCAGAAGTCAGGCAGCCAGGGTGGTGAAGTCTACAAGAGGGCAGGCTCCTGGAGCGCAGAGCAGGGCAGCGGTGGGCAGAGAAAGGAGTGCTCTGTGTGGGGGTGTATTTCCCTTACAGAGGAAACCACGGCCATATCTCAAGTACCAAGAACAAGGCCTGGCATATAGTGAGTGTTCAAGTGAGTGTCCACTCACGTGGTGAGTGCCTGTTGAATGAATGGAAGGACAGACAATTGTGCAAGGAGGCCTCTGCCTCTGAGGGGGCCTGGCAGCTGTCTGCCCAATAGGAGCACTCTATCCTGACAGGTAAGTCCATCAAATCCTCCCTCGGGGCAAGTACGCCTGCTGAGTGAGCAAAGAGGAAGTGAATCTTTACTTACTCTTTCATGCCCTGCACTGAGGACTAGAAATTGGGCAGAGAAAAGCAGTAAGATCTGTGAGAACCTACTACATGCCAGACATTTTGTAGTTGTGGGAAGCTACAGCCTCCATATTGTCCCCATGACATGACAAGTGTGAGGACAGAAAGCCAACAGGCTAAGCTCAGCAGAGTAAAGAGATGACAAGGATTTCATTGATGCTCATCATTGAGCTGCTGAGCCAACACTAGCAATCGCTCATCTCAAATTGATTATTGGATGAAAAATTAAAAACCTGTATTTGTTTCAGCTAATGTTAGTTGGGGTATCGTGTTACCAGCAGCAGTCCTAATGGATATGCCAGTCACTGTCCCAGAATGTGATCCTGTTCTTTTCTCTTTTGCTTTCATCTGCCGTTGGCACTCAGGGCCACTGCCTCATGTCACCAGCCGCTCTCTCAGCTGATGAATTTCTACAGCTCTCCTATGGAATTCCACCTTCTCCACCACTGTCATGGGGCTGGAGGACACACTTGCTAAATGCTTAAGGCTACATTAAGGTTTTATTACTCTACTTTGCTGCATGGAAATCGCGTGTGTGTCATAATTCTTGGCGTGGTAACAGTTTGAGCTATGTGTGTGTGTGTGTGTTTGTGTGTGTTCATTTCTGCAACAGTAGGCACTAGCCTATTGTTTTACCCCTAGATTTATGAGACACAGTGCAGTGGAAAATGTGCACCCTAAATCTTAACAGCAGGGCAAGTTGAGATGGAAACATAAAGCACACAGTCAATCAATACATTTTTAAACAGGAGTTTTGTGAACGTGAGGTTGTCTTAAATTATCCTTGGAAGTGGGAGATAAAGTGAGAAAGTAGAAAGGCAAGAACTCTGAGGAATGAGGAACTTGCCTCCTAATGACAGAAGCTGAATGTCTGTGCTTCGTCTCCAGGGACCAAAGAAGGTAGGCTATTACGTTGAACTATTTATTGCCAATGCTCGACTTTCTTTTTACCTATTTTATCTAAGATAATTATAGCTTCAATCAGCAACAACCTAATTTTCAAAAAAAGGAAAGAGGAATCATTTTCTGCTATTTACTTACTATTATGTATTTATTACATAAGAAACACATGTTTTCTAAAGAAAATGTAAAAAGCAGAACATAATCATATATACACATATGATATCATATTTATACATGCTCTTTTTGGTTATTTCTTAGAATTTCCCTCACCCTGCTTACACTGCCCATCTGTTCTTACATGCTGTCCACTTTATCCACTGCAGCCCTTAGCATGTTAATCACAGTTGTTTTAAATTCTTATTTTGATAATTTCAACATTCCTGCCATATCTGACTGGTTCTGATGCTTGGTCTGTCTCTTCAAACTGTGTTTTTTGACTTTTAGTATGCCTTGTAATTTTCTTCTTGATGGCCACACGTGACATCCTGGGTATAAGAGCTGCTGTAAATAGACCTTTAGCAACGCGATGGCAAGGCATGGGGAGGCGAAGCGTTCTATCCTCCTGTGATTAGGTCGCAGTCTTTCCAGCAGCCTTTGGCTTTAGACGGTGAACTTCACACACACTTCTCAGTGCCCCCCACCCCATACTTTGGGAGGGACGGGGTGGCTCCAGCGGGCTGAAGTTGGATTTTTCCCTTTCCCGGGTTGGTTCAGCTCTGAAAAACCTGAATAGTTTAGGCTCTGGTAACATAGTTTCTCTTGAGGGCAGGTCTTGTTAAGAAGAACAGAATGCTCTGGCACATTTCAAAGTGGTTACTTATTCCACCCCCGCTTCCCCCCCATCTGCACCCACACTGGAAACACAGGGGGATATTTCTCTGATATTCAATGTGAGAACCTGGAGGTAGAGCTCACAGAAGTATGGAGGACCCCTACGACTGGGTCCCCGGGAGGTGTCATCTCAGACTTGTCCACACTGAGCCTCTGGCAATTCATCAGTTACGGTTTAGGTTTTCTAAGGCAGTGCTGGTTCCATGGAGGTTTCTGCTCCAGTAAGTTGTGATTCTCTGTATCTACCTATTTCTCCACTGTTGGGGGCAACAGTTTTCCTTGTGACCTCAATCTCTGAAGGATTCAGGAGGAGTTGCTGATTTCTCGGTTTATTCAGTTTTTTTACTTGTTAGGATGGGGTGGCAACTTTTAAGCTCCTTCTATGCTGGACCAGAAATCGGAAACCTACATGCTCCTTTGTAACCTGCTTTTTCCCTTTACAATAAATTGTGAATGTATTTGATATTAGTAATATATTTTTAAGAGTTTGATACATATTTCATTGTATGGATAGATTGTAATTGATGTGAGAACTAATATAACTTAATGGTTACAAGCTCAGTTTCTGGAGTCAGACCACCTGGATTCAAACTCGCCTCTGCCACTTAGTGACTGCATGACCCTGAGCAAATTAGTTCACCTGCTTATGCCTCAGTTTATTCACCTGCGAAATAGAGATCATACCCATTCCTACGTCATAGGGCTCCCAGGAGGATCCAGTAAATTAGTGTATGTGCAGGTCTCCTAGGACAGTGCTTCTGTGAAGGTGTTAGATGCTATTATTAACTCATCCCCTGTCGTTGGACATTTCACTTATTTCCAGTTTTTCACTATGATAAATAACCATGAAACGCCTCTACTTAGATCAAAATCTTTGTGTACATCCTTAATTATATTCCTAGCATATGTATCAATTAGGACTCTGTTTTGACTGCAAGTGACAAAAAAAAAAAAATCAATCTCAAACTAACAAGCAAAATAGATAAGTAAATAAAATAGATACTTCGATAAAGAAAAGTATCGGGTCATGTAACTGCAAAGTCGAGGCAGGCTAGCGCTGGTGCTGCTTGAGCCAGGCACTGAATCGTTTCCAGCCTCGCCCCTTCCATCCTGGATTTACTCTCAGGCTTCACGTGGTGACAAAATGGTTCCAAGCCAAGCCCTCCTACATCTAGTCCAGCAAAAGGCAGGACGGTTTCCTCTCAGAACTGGATAAAAATCCTGGGCTTACCTGACTCATAAGGATCGTATTGAGTCAGGAGCCCGTCCCTGAATCAACTACTGTGGCTGGAGGGGTGGAAAGCATTGAGTGGCTCAGCCCTGGAGCTAAGAGAGATCAGCCCAACCCAAACCCTATAAAATGATAATGGGAAAAGAGTGGCTTCACAAAGGAATCTAAGATACTATAAAAAAAAAAAAAAAAAAAAAACCCATAAAACAAAAGAAAGGAGAAAGGATGCTGGGGGGCCAAGAAATAAAGAGATGCATTCTACTGATTAGTTTCTTAGATGAGGTATTTCCCTATGAAAGCAAATGCACATTTTTAAGACTTTTGATACATTTTGCCAATTTTATTTCTTCAAAAAGTCTGTGCCAATCTGCTTTCTCACTAACAGTAGAAAAGATGAGCCGTCTTCTGGCACAATAGCCAACACTGGTAATATCATCAGAAAATTACATTCCTCAATCTGATAGAAGAAAAATAAGTATATCACTTCAGTTTGTATTTCTTTGCAGATGGAACAGCGTATTATTAGTGTGTTATATTTTTACGTTTATTGACTATATACATTTATTCTTTTGTAAATTATGGCATTTCATTGACTCTGAGACATTACTGATTGTAAAACACACCATTATTTTGTATACTACCAAGAAATTTTAAAAAAATACTCTCTGCTTTATACATATATTATATTATAAATATAGTTTTATAATCCATATTTCATTGATTCTAAGATTATTTTTTACATTTTAAGATCTCTGTAATCAGAACGTGTCCTACAATAAAAAGAAAAAGAATTGCATCACAATTTAACCAGCAGAATTTAAAATTTTTATTTTCTAATAGTACATAAAAATAATGTCTTATAGGGGCTGGCCCGGTGGCGCAGTGGTTAAGTGTGCACATTCCACTTCAGTGGCCTGAGGTTCGCTGGTTCAGAACCTGGGTGTGGACGTGGCACCGCTTGGCAAGCCATGCTGTGGCAGGCATCCCACATATAAAGTAGAGGAAGATGGGCATGGATGTTAGCTCAGGGCCAGTCTTCCTCAGCAAAAAGAGGAGGATTGGTGGCAGATGTTAGCTCAGGGCTAATCTTCCTCAAAATAAAATAAAAAGAAAAGAAAAATACACAAAAAAATAATAATATCTTATAGTCAATAACACCTTAGACTCAATAAATTATGATACATAAAAATCCTTATTTCTCCTTCTTATCTGTCTTTTTCAATATTTTGTCTGTTCTTGTCTCTGCTCTTCCAGATTAGTATTAGAACAGTTTGTCAAAATATTTTGTAATTTAATAAGAATTGTGCTAAATTTCTAGATTAGGGAGAATCATCATCTTTAAAATATTAAGTATTTTCATCTGGACACATGGCATATTTATTAAATTTTTCTTTTACTACCATCTTCAAAAGTTTTATAGCTTTTTAAATATAACTTTTGCATATTTCTTGTTAGACTTTCCAATGTCCACTTTAGGTTTTTTGGGTGTGCAACTACGAATGAGAGTATTTTTGTAATATGTTTTCCAAATGATTATCGCTACTCTATGGAACACTGCTAATTTTTATTTATTTAAGCAGATTTAATTTATCCTGAGAACTTACATGTCAGAAAAGAAATTGGGGGAAAAAGTAAGAAGATTTTTAATAATCACTTCCCTTCCCCAAAAGTAATTAGGTAACAGAAAAAAAGTATTAATAAAGGATATTAATGCAATATATTATACATTATTTATACATACATATATACATATCATACATGTAAAGTGCATAACATATTATACAGATAATATACCATACAATATATACATAATATATTAATATAATATGCAACTACCTCACTTTGGCCATCAGTTTGGATCGTCTGCGACACCCAGCATCTTGTTGGAACTGTGTCTGTGTCTATTCCGTAGGGTGCAGCTGAGAAACCTCGCAGATGATCTGAAGGTCTCGGTGCCAGTCTGGGTCCAGATATCTGGGCTCTGAGACAGGTGAGATCCTGCAGGAGACACCCATCTTTTTAGAGCTACATTCCCTCCTCTGTAAAAGAATGACTTTGGACCCAATTATTCTAAGATTTCTTACTGCATCAACATCCTGGGGGACTACTAATGAGTGATGAAATTAACTGATAACATTTATCTCCTTTTTGGCCTTGCCTGTCCTTAGTCAGTAAAAAGAAACATTAAAAGACAGGGACCAAGAGAAGAGCCAGAGAAACAAAATGCCCATATACTCTTTAAGCTCTACATTTAACCCTTGAAGACGTGAATGTGTGTAACAATGCTGGACAAAGTAAGAGAGCGGGCCACTGTATTCAGGCACAGGTACAATCTAACTTCATGTCAGTCTCTCATTGGCAGCTCTCCTTGCCCCAGATAATGCCCTATTTGATTTTGTCTTGACTGGGCACCGGCCTCTAACTGCTGCCTTGTAAGAAACAGAATCTGAAAGGAGGTACAAGAATGGAACATCAGTACACTGACCGTTGTTCATTTGCTGAGCGGGTATCTCTTGGTCACGTGTTCATTCAGCACTCACGTGTTCCAGACGCTGGGTTCGGACCTGTGTGCAGACCAGGCATACACGGGTGGTGACAGATCTCTAAATAAGCACTTGTGCGGTGGATTACTTTCGTTACTGTGATAGAAATCTTAATTAGATATTGTGGGGAGGCAGGAGAAAGCATTTAGTCCTGCATGGAGACCCAAGAAAGGCCTAGAAAGCTGAGCCTGTTCCATTTGGAAAGGCAGAAGGGGGAAGGACGTGCCCATAGAGGGAAGAGCGAGCGCAGAGGTGCAGGGCCTTGACGCAGTGGGAGGGGCTGCAGGCCTACAAGGCTGGTGTGAGGGGGTGAGACACAGGTCACGGAGGTGGGCACGGGAAATATTAAAGGCGCTTTAAACCGTGTTAAAAGCATGTTGGGATTTCCTGTGTAGTGAGGTAGTGGAAGGGTTTTCCACAGCGGAGTGGTGTGGGCAGGTTTACATTTCAGAAAGATTGTTCTATCATCTGTGTGAAATGTGGACGGTTTGAGAAGATTTGAGAGTGGAGGCAAGGAGGCTGGTTAGGAGCCAGCTGGAGTAGTCCAGGTGAGATCTAAGTTGATGCAGCCATAAGAGGTTGGAGAAAGTGGCGTGTGTATGCGATGGTAGATTCGTTTTCTATTGCTGTGTAACAAAATAGCACATCCTTGGCAGTTGAAAGCAGCGCCCACTTAGTAGCTCACAATTCTGCAGGTTGGAAGTCTGGGCCTGGTGTGGTGTGTTCTCTGCGCAGGGTGATGGAAGCTGAAATCAAAGTGTCAGCCAGGGCTCGGGGTCCTCCTCCGTCCTCCTTCAGAGGGTGTTGGTAGAATTTATTTCCTCGCATTTGTAGGACTGAGCTTCTGGTTTTTCCTCCTGGCTGTCAGATGGTGGCCCTGTTAGCTCCCAGAAGCTGTCCCTCTCCGTCTGCAGATCGTAACGTGGATGTTTGTTTTCTTCAAGTCAGCCGGCTGCGTCTCTCTGACATCCCTTTCTGTGACCATCCTGAATAAACTGCTTTCAAAGGACTTACATGTTTAGATTAGGTCTACCCAGATAACCTCCTTCTCTGAAAATCAACTGTACCATACCACACATCTAAAGATGAGAGTAAAATTCATCCTATCCGTAGACCCAGGCACTATGCATGGTGGGAACGCTTGGGGCCATCTTAGAATTCAGCCTACCGTAGATGTTATAACACAACAATGACAACAGCGGCAGAAACTGGCCCAGATGGAAATTGGTTCCTGATTGCGTGAGGGACCAGGAAGAGGAAGAGATTAAGAGTCTGGTATGACTGGATGGTGTTGTTCACTAAGACAGGGGGTACCAATGGACAAAAAGGCCCGGGTTGCACTTTGGACTTGTTGAGACTCACAGATCTGGGGGCTTTGCAGGTGAGCCACAAGACAGTCAGGGATGACGTACAGGAGAGTAGTTGGAAGGAAATATAAAACCTTCAG